ATTGAAGCAACTGCCATGTGATTGGTTAATTAGATAATTGCATTAATGAGAAATTGAACAGGTGTTCCTAATAATCCTTTAGGTGAGTGTACACCAGCGTTATACACCTACAACTGAATTAAATGTTATTCAGTATCTTTAATATTTTATCGCAATTCCCAATTCCCATCACGCAGAAATGAACAAAGGCAGGCTATTCAAGTTTTGACTTAAAAAATAATAATACAATGAACATTTTACTATACTGGCAGACGCAGTAAACTGCTTTGAGGGAAAAAAAAGCTTCGTGGAATTTTTTTGCGCATGGAACTCGGTTTGTCTGAAGTTGTGTAATTTATAGTTATTGATGAATAACGAATTCAGTATTATTCAAGACAAAGAAGTCAAAAGACGACATTAAATTAAATTTATTTAGCACTTTTTTCCCCAAAACGACGTACAATAGAAAAAGCAGGGCCAGCCAGTCCCTGGAGTAATTGATGGTCAAGGGCCCAACAGTGACATCAGTCATCAATCCGGGACTCGAACCGCCGAATTTCCCATGACAGCACAGCCTCATAAGCCTAAGCCTCCCGAGACTAATGATTTTTAGTCAAACGCTACGTGAGTTCAATTTCGTGTAGTAACAACGCAAATTCGTACTTATTTTGTTACAAGTAATTACCGCGCATTTGAACCTTATACGGCGAATGCGCATATAAGATACTTGTCCACTAGGTGGAGACAAAGTACCAAGAACAAACTGGTATTGAAAGTTAGCCAACGAAACCACCAATGGGACAAAAGTTGTTCTGTCTTCATATATCAGGGACATTGGACAACACACCACACACAGAATGCACTTCACGATTTTGAAGGAAATGTCCATGACTCTGACACAGTGGGATATTAATTTGCATCTAGCATATAAGCAGCAACTCACTGAGCTCGTAAGACGATTTACCTGCTGAAGTGCCCTGCTGTCATATGATTGTACTCAGTGAATGGCACCGTCTTCTATAACCCCACAGTGGATTTAGGGCACTCCAGTCCACATCATCAGGACGTGTGATGGTCCCTCTGGTGCGTTAAGCTTCCCTGCTCAGGAGTATTTTGTGTACAGTCTGGAACACCTGTGTGCAATTAATGAAAATTCAGTTTTTGCACATGATGTAGCGGTATGAAAACATGGCCGAATGTCACTGTTCTTGCACCTACAGATTCTGTTTGTGTCGATGCTCAGACGTTTATTTTTAATGCTTATCAATGGACATCGTGTAAAAGTTAAATAGCACAATGTAAATTTGACACTTTTGCTTGCCTGCCGGATGGAATGTCTCTGAAGATGGTCCGTAACACACCATGTGTGGATGCGGCGGCCTGCTGTGGATGTGGCGGCCTGCTGTGGATGCGGCGGCCTGCTCTGTGCGCGCCTTAACGGCTGTGGTGGGGACCGCTGACAGCGCTCAGCATCACAGTCACACCCTCACAACATACGCCAGCCGTGTGTAAGTGGGTGTTTCATATCAAGAGATCCGCTGACACCGCGAAATGTGTTTTTCATAAACTCCCCCCCCCCACCTCAAGCCTCCTTCCACAAAGATTTAAGCGTGCCCCAGGAGGCAGATCCGTACATGTGTGCTGATGGAGAAGCTGGGATTACGCAGGTGTGGGCAGACTCTCTTGTCCTAAATGTGGTCCAGCCCCCGTCGCAACAGCGCGACTCACCACTGAACCGCTTAACCTCAACCGAGTGTCAAGTTACTGGCCCGCTGTGATACTAGACAACATGACCTGACACTGCTACCGCGGCAGTGGTGAGTAAATGCGACGTGTCAGTTAACACGACACACTCCGATGCTCCCTCGCCCCGTCCCTGCGAGCAGCCGCAAGTGGCTGAACCCACGGTCGCAGACTGAGCTGCAACATGAACCACGTCAAACAACATGACCGTAAAGAAGGTTGTGAGGGCCCCATCATATCTGAAGGCCACCAGCTGACCCTCAGAGACACACACACGGCGCACCAAACCACCGACCAAAGACCGACCTGGTGAAACCAGCCGCTGTGAGCTGCAAGAGCCATCGTACCAAGCGGGGAGGAAAACAGATGTCAGCCAGTTTTGAGCAGCATGTTAACAGAGGAGCCTCCGGCCTCCATCGACGCCGCACGTAGAAGTTGTGCAGGTCCCCTCTGTCATGCACTGGGTGTTTCCTAATATCAAGAACGTCAAGAACGTACTTGTGGTCTTGGCAAGACCAGTCTTGCTAACTCGTCTCCCAGGAACAAACTTGGGGTGCAATGATTCATGGGATTGGTCTCGTTTGGTGAGGATGCATCCGATGTCTCCTTGATATCTGGGGCGGAGCAAGAATGACATCCGGGGACTTTTAGCATCCTCCTTACTTCTGTGCTTACTATTGGAACTGGTCTTCGGCCATGGAAGATGATGTGACACAGGTGCGCGAGAACACAAGTACAGACAAGTACGTGTACTGAGAAATACCCTCTGCTCCTGTCACAGCAGGGGACCTTCCCTGCCGCCCGTTGCTGTGCCTGACTTTCGACGCCTAACCCTTCCTCCACACGCCTTTAATGCAGCCGCATACGGAGCAGCTTATGCACGCAGCCTCTGCTAGATCTGGCCACAGAAGGTCTTATTACCAGTAAGTGTTTTCTGTGTTAAGGACGTCTGTTTGAATAACAGAAAGCACATCTAACTTGACAGCCTGCCCCCCCCCCCCCCCCCCCCCCCCCAAACAACCTTCACCTCCCTGGACTGAGCTGTACCCCCCCAAAGACTGCTCCACATCACATGTCAGATATTGTTCGTTTCATTTCCTTTTGAGGGGCCGTGCAAAAGAAAAAAATACACACAGAACTAAAATATTTACAGCGTGACACTGCGACCTGGGGTACATAACTCACCTCAAACGTGGCCGTCTGGTCCTGGGGGGGAGGGAGGCAGTGCATGAGGGTGTCTCAGACCGACCCCCCAGACAAGCTGATGCTGGATATATGACTCTGGAAATATGCGGACTCTGACACCAGGGCCTCACCAGCGGACGCCGTCGGCGAGATCGGCTCACACGCGGCCGGGGGGGCTTCATGACAGCGGCATCACCTGATACCATATTTCACTCCCCGAGATGAAGCCCGCTCTGAGTGTGTCCCGATGGGCGTCGACCCGCGCCGAGTTCCCATCACTCCGCGCCGTGCGGAAGAATGGCTGCTTTTGTATCTCGAAGAGGAACGCGAGACGTGAAACACATGTCCGAAGGTGAACGGGTCGGGGGGGGGTCACAGAGCCGCATGACAAAGTGGAGTTTGGGACTCGCGACGCACCCCTCCTGACAACGTAAAAATTAAAGCAACTGAGAAAGTAAAACGATTTACGGTACTGACAGAAATAACATACAGGAGTGAGAAAAGAAAGATTCTTAATCAAGCTAAATCTAAATCTTCTTCTTCTGTGAACACGCCTTGCGCTGGCGAAGCGTCAGCAATGCTGCCCTCGTGTGGCTGCATTAGGATTTTTTGTCAGCTTGCAGCCTAACTCGGTTGACTAAAACGTTGGGTCCCTTAATTGTAATTTATATTCATACATCACCCAAACACAGGAGAGTAATTTTTAAAAACACCCTAAAACACTTCAGATATTGCATTTTGTCTATTGTTACACATGTTGAACAGATCTGAAAAGCTGCTCTGCAGAGCCATCAGATGACAAATGGAGCAGGTAATGAGGAAAGCAGGGAAGCAAATGGGCTGCTATATAAATAATGTCTTTATGGAATAATATTCAAAACTTTAGTAGTCAGAAGCAATAACTGGAGTTTGTAGCATAACGCAGATAAAAGGGAACATTTCTATTAAAAAACCTTCTAGTAAAAAATAACATTCCTCGTCACTTGATGTTTGAGGGGGGGGGGGCTGTCAGCATGCAGAATGAGGGTCTGTTAGCTCTTAGTAACATTTAGGGGCAGGAGGTTTAATGCCGAGTTGAATGTTTCATGCATTTACACTGAGCCAGAGTCTGGAATCATGGGAAATATGGGGTGAGGTGGGGTCAGTACTGGGGGTCACATGACAGACAGAAAGTGCCATTCTTGGAGGGGGTTTGACAAGAAAATCAGTGGGGCGGGGGCTGGACCAGGAAAAATGCATCGGACATCCTGCTAATTAGGGGCAAAAAAACAAACAAACAAAAAACCTTGGGCACCAGGCTGTCCTTCCTGAAAGCCCCCCCAACCCTGTACAGACAGGCATTTTACTACAGTAATCCAATGGGCAGCAGGTCACATGGCCGTTAAGATTGGGGAGAGAATGCAGGAAGTAACAAAACCACAGGTTATGCAGTACCAATACGGGGCTTTATAAACTGGGTAAAAGAGACAAAATCTGCCCTCATAAAAGCTAAAGACATTTATTCAGGGGCAACATTCACTAGCAATGACACAGACAAGTTTAAAATCTTTATATAAGCATTTGATGAAACAATGATCAGTGGTACAACAGCAGAGACTATCTTGAGACCCGAACTGACGGCCTTTCGTTCAGATCGCCTTCGCTTGCTTCCCACTTACGAGCAGCAGCGACCACCCCCCCCCCACACCCCCACCCCCACTCTGTCTCGCTCAGGGTAGCGGGTCCAAGCAAAGACGCGCGGACACGGCGGAAACCTTTTTCGAGAAGCAGCTTTTGATGTGCCGGGGCAGCGAGGTCAGTGTGAAATTCAAACAACAACAAGAGGAAAAGCTCAAACCAGCTCGATGCTCCTTACCCAGAGGCCGTCTGAAATCTCCATATTCAATACGGCAAACCGTGGCATCGTAAAAGGCTAATACTACACATGTATTTGGCTCCTTTACTGGGAAGAGGGCTTAAGTACCTATCTGCAAAACAAGGCCCATAGTACCTACCCCAGACATTCATGTTGGTCTGCTTATAGCACGTTAGCATTTATTAGCCTCTCCAATTAAGCATCCACACCAATTAACCAATAGCTCTAAATTAACTGCACTGCTGATCCACTGCCACAACAGGGCATTCTTGCTTAGGTCCTGAGGACAGGGGCTGTATGAAGTGAAAAAAATAAATGTATTATTATATTATTATTATTTGCATTTATATATGTGTGGTAAAATTTTGTGCGCTGGGAACAGGTGAAACGCAAACGTAAGCGTGACGGACTCTTTACACCGGGTGGTTGTGCTGCTTCAGTTGGTGAAAAGCGAAGTTAGCGACAGAAAGAAATAATGAAGCTTGTGGAAGGTGGACAGTGTACAAACGAAATCAGAGCGAGTTACATATTTATAAAAACTGTAAAATGTGACTGCAAAGCGTTGCATAAATCTTTTGCTTCTTAATGCTGGCAGTCTTGTGTCAAGTAATACTTGGAGGACATTAAGGTCAAATGCATCTGGCCCCCTAACAGAACAACTGGCCCCACTCTGCCCCCCCCCCCCCAGTTGAAATGGTCTAGAACCACCATTGCCTCTATTCTGGCTCTCATACAGCGTCCATCTGCCACACCTGCCTCAAGAAGACTAACGCAGAATCTCTTCAGAAGCCTTCTTGTTAAGTGCCGCCCGCATCACCCCAGACAAAGCCGGCCATGTCGATGCTTTGTGTTTACAGATGGAAGGGCGGAAGTGGTTCCTGGATGCGTCCAGGCTCCGCCCCCAGCGCACACAGGCCCTGCCCCTCCCAGACCCCGCCCACAACTCTAATGAGCGGCCAACTCCCGCAGAGGTGTGCGGCGCCCCCAGGTGAAACCGCGCAGATGAAAGGCAGCGATGAGGTCCGGATCTTCCGCGACGTGACAGCTGTATATTAATCTAAAGAACTTCTGACAAATCAAACAGATTTTTTTCCTCTGTCTCTCCTGCAGAATCCAACCCTAGAGCCTTCGACATCAAGCGAGAGCAGAGACTTGAAACAAAATTGATTTCATCTTTAAGGGATGCGCTCCTTTGAAAAGGTTCTCCGCCGACTTGACTTCTTTCTGCTCGCTGGTACTTCAACAAACCGGAGCCATGCTACCAGGGACAGAGTCTGAACGCACTGCTTCCAACTAATTCCCTAATTGAGGGATGAAACGGACACGTTTGCAGGCTCGGCGTGTCCTGACTGGCACGGGAATATTAATCAGGCCGCGGCACGGTGCCGAGGTGAGTGAGGCTAAGCGCGCGGCCATGACACGCTTGCTGAACTGGAAACTCGCGGCACGGAGCTGCTCGCAAAATCACAGCCTGTGGTCATCCGCCAGTCTTCGGGGTCACGTGACACTCTGCCGCTGTGCTTTGACACCCGATTGGCCGTTTTCCTGGATGGACAGAGCACCGCGACTCATCTGTCATGTGTCGGCCCTTGATGCCGTCACAACTGTCTGACCCGCCGTAAAGTCATGATTCCTAACTGCTTTGGTGCAGGGAGGAGGCACTCGTCACCTCCACCGGGAAGCTGCGGTCTTTACCGAGCGTCCGGCTCGCGGCGTGGCTCATTTTGAGCGTGTGTGCCAGGCAAGATGCTGCGTTCTGACCCGCCCAGGATCCACATCAGTAAGGGGCTCGCCGCCGCCTCTACAGGGATCAGACCGGAGGGGTTACTAGGAAACAGCCTCAAAGAACAATAACCAGTGTACAGAGCCTGATAGTAACAAGAGGAACAAACAAACTTCCCAGTTATGAAAACAGCGGCTCATCTCTGCCCCCTGGAGGCTTTGAACGGCCACACGCTGAACGTGGAAGCCGCTTTAGAGAGGCCGTTGCATAACAGCGCGATCGGCGATTACGTAACGCTGTGGTACGCAGGCACCCGCGGCCCTCGAATCGACTTGCCGCTCTCCTGGTAAAATCTCTTTCCCCGCACCACCCCTGGGGGAGTGGTGGGGGGGGGAGGGGGGGCTCAGCTTCATGGCCCTTCATCTATCGCTCTCCCACTCGAGGAGGGAACATGTTTCTCACACCAGACCCAGTCAGAACCAGCCCTCAGCAGTGCCTTCAGGCAGGGACCCCCCCCCATAACAACAGTAATAATAATAATGTTACTAACGAGGCTGTCCTGCGATGGACATGCAAGGTGGATGCTGACCCAGGTCTCGAAAGCTCTTGATGACCCAGACGGCACATTCCTGCTTAGACAAGCACCTCCTCTGCTTCCTCCTCTTTGATTACACCCACTTTCTTACCCCTCTCCGAATGGAAGCCCCCAAGCCCACACGTCTTAATGTAGTCCAGCGCCCCCTGCTGGCTGCCCAGTCGGACTCACGGTGCCTGTTATATCCACCCGGCATCATAGACACTCCTGCTACCTGCATACAGGGACAGGCTACAAAAATGGTAAAGTACCTGCGCATCGCAACGTCCAAAACCACCGCATGAAGGGCAGCCACAGCGCCACCCCATGGCTCCTGGGTGCGGCACTCGCCACGCCAGCAGCTGCCAGTTCCAGTCCAGAAGATTGGCCTGGTAGTGGCATTCAGGAATGGCCCAAAGCGGGGTGCCTGAGCATGGGTAACCACACTCAGACCTCACGCCAAACCAGCCGCCCGCGTGCCAAGGAAAACACGCT